CTCCATTCTCACTGAAAGATTCTGAAACCCTTCCAGAAGCTTCTTTAAACCAATTGTCTCAGACAGTAGCTGATCCATGATGGAGTAGCTTTGGGATGTTGTTCTCCATGACACAGAAATGATATGAATAGGGCATCCCACTTCATGCTGTTTGTAAATTTCACCTGGCCCCTTACCCAGCACTCACAGCCCCTTGCAAACCACAAAATAAAGCCAGCCAGGTGTAAGCCAGATGGTGGTGGCGCACACCTTTAATATCAGCACTCGGGAGGCAGAGGCAGGCGGATCTCTGTGAGTTGGAGGCCTGCCTGGTCTACAAGAGCTAGTTCCAGGACAGGTTCTAAAGCTGCAGAGAAACCCTGTCTTGAAAAACCAAAAGGCTAGGTGTGGTGGTTCAAAACCTGTCATCCTGCACTTGAGAGGCTGAGGTAGGAGGACTGGGAATTCAAGGCCAATTTGGGCAATCCCTCTCCGCAAAAGTCCCCAAAAATCACCAGCTCCTTCCAGACAGAATCCCAGCCTCTCTGGATTTACTGTGAACATAAGAGGGTAGAATCCAGAAAACTCCCTTACCAGGAGCTTTCCAGAGTTGACGTGGTCAACCAACTTACTCATTCCTTAAAGTGTTTATTCAACAGAGAAGGAACTGGATGAACACAGTGCGGGGGGATGATCTGTCTCCCCAAAGCCCTCTACTGGCTACAAACCAAGTTTGTCACTGATCCAGCATTAAGGGCCAAGACGCCCTCACCCTTTGTTCATGAGCTCAATTCTTAAAGCCTAGGATGCTTACTTTTACTTTTTGGTCATTGAAACTGTAGCTGTACAGCCCAAGTTGGTCTCAACTCAGGATCTTCCTTCCTGTCTCAGCATATCTGCTGGGACTGCACATGAGGCCACTCCAAGATCCCCACCCCTGCACTTTAAAGACAACTCCATCAGGAAACAAGGTTCTTTACAATGACGATTAAAATGAAGCGAGATCCCCAACATGGACTTTCATCTGTGTGGTTAGTGTCCTCCTAGTTAAGACACAGAGACAAGCTCAAAGAAAGATGACAGGAGACAAAGGGGAAAGATGGGGCCACCCATGAGCTTGGGGTAGATTACCATGAACCTCAGAGGAGGCGGCCATGCCTGTACGTGGTCTTGGACTCCTGGCCTTCAGAACCTCATGACGGCCTGTGGGTTGTCCATCTAGTCTGTGGCAGACGCAAGACTGCCAGAATTGGCTCTAGCTTGACTCCACCTCACACGTCCACACATGTGCGTATGACACCCTGCAGAGCCGGGATCTACATGAGTCAACTCTGCCAGCTTATTCATCACCGCACAATCCTCCAGGCTGAACCCCTGAATCACTTCTCAGGGATCCCTGACTAGGAAATGAGCAGATCCCTAGCTCATCGGCTGCATTTTTCCAACGTGCCTAATAGTGGAGGCTTTTACCAGCCAAAGTGGATAGCAGTACAGAGACAAGGCCCTTTGTTCTGTCCCTCTGGGAACCACGAGGGCAGAAGAGAAGGGCCTGTCTTGCTCTATCAGGAGGCCACGCCTGGGTCTGGCTGAATGGTGGGCCGGGCAGGGGCTGCCTGGCACAGCTGGGTTGGGAACCTCAAAGACACAAAGGCCTGGCAGGTGGGACATGGGGAGAGGTGCATATCTGAGAGAGGGTCACTAGCTGGATGAGCTCCAGAGTAGACGACCTTCCCCCACTGAAGTAAGCAGTTATGTCACGGTCATTGGTGAGAGGAGTCAAAAGGAACAGGCAGAAAGAGAGGGGACAGCAAAGAACAAAGACACAAACCCCAAAAGAACTTCAACAGTGTGGGAAAGGATGAGGACCTTGGGGGCCTGGGCCGTGGAGGAGATAATGCCATTTATCAGAGGCATGGCAATCAGACAACCTTTGATACTGGAGTCTGGTATAGCTAATCTTGCAAGAAAAGTGACAGTTTGTTCCCAGATGGGGACAGAGTCTCCAGAAACTCAGGTCAGTGGTGATACAATGGCAAGAGAGACAATGGCCCTGCTGTGCCTGTCAGGCTGCCTCATGGGGCCCACCTGCCTTGGTTCCTTCAGGATATCCCTCCTCCCACCCAGCAGCTAGCAGAATTAGCATCCAAGGTCTCCCCACCTCTCCCCCAAATGCCCGGGAGAAGCACTGAGGCCAGGAGGGGCTGTAGCCATAATTTCACACACAGCATCTATTCTCACCTTGGGTGCATTCCATGCGGCTCACTCCACATGACACAACCTGTCATCATCTCTAGTCATCACCCTCATGATAATGTGAGCCAAGGATGCTACAGCATCACAGGGTAGACAAGGTGGCCCTGCAGCCAAAGAATGACCCCATACCAAATATCACAACAGTCTGACAGCCACATCTGAATTAAGGGCTATTGTAGAAGGTTGAGGATCAAGGACTTGTTGGCTTTCTGTTCTCTTGTGGTGCTGGAGATGCCTAGGCCTTGAATGTGCTGAGAGCTGGAGCATGAACCTAGACTGTCAGCCATGTTCCCTGGTTCTACAGAGTCTAGGGATCCAGCTCCAAAGCTAGCACTACTTTGAGAGAACAAAGACCCTCTCTTGGTGGCTAAATGGAATAGACAGCTGAGACAAACAAAAGCAGGGGCCAGCAAGTGTGCCAAATAGCAGAGACCCCATTGCAACTGGGTCTCTGCTCCAGTCATTGCGGTTCATCACTAACATGACTTCCCAGGTGTGGCTGGGATCAGCCACCTCTTCGGAGGATATATAATGCACTCCCCTCATCCTAAACCTCCATCTCCAATTCTGCCCCTTTGATAACCCATGCCGCCTGTCACTCTGCGCACCTGCCCGATGGGAATATCATTTTTTTCTATGAAAAGGGACAGTAGTTGTCCCTGAGGCACAAGGAGGTCTCAGCTCTGCTCTCAGGAGGCAGCCAAGAAATAGGCACAAACAGGTCTTTCTGGATTGGACTTTGGACCCACCCAGCACATGCTACTTCAGAGAGTTGAGGGAAGGGGAGCCACCTTGTCAGGAGGGGAGTTAAACCAGGAGTCCTGAGTCCCCAAATGACCCACATGGTCACCAGCTAGACTTGAGAGAGGGTTTTACCCAACCAGGAGGTCAAAGCCACAGCTTTGTGCAAGAAGCACACTGGATACCTGGCTAGGGGTATGGCTCCATGGTGGAACACTTACCCAGCATGTACGTGTAAGGCTCTAAGTTCCATGCCCAGGATTGCAATGCAGAAGACAGAGGAAAGTCGGGGCTGCATAAAACCAAAGGGTATGTACCAGAAACACGAAAGTTAGTAAGTGGGGTCAGCTCTTGAAAAAAGCTAACACAGACCAACCCAGTTACTTTGCAGAGGAGGACACCAGACACAGGTCACTTCTTCCAGGAGACCCCCATGCAGTCACATGCTCTGAGTGCACAGTGGAAACAACATGGCCTTGGCATAAGAAGATTCAGGTCCTCCCTGGGGTCTCCAGACCCAAGCAGTCTTTGACATTGCAAGAGGCATGACTGAGCAGTGTGCCCTAGGGCAGGCTAAGATGAGAGCTTTCTTACAGAACATTCCAGAAGTGAATAGGGCAGTCATGTCTCTGAGACTTTCTTTATATCCAGATTTGTGTACCAAATGGAACTCTAAACCTGGTTTTCTTCGGCAAGCACACAGCAGATAGGGAATCCTAGCAATGGGGAGGGAAAGAAGAAAGTCATGCCATCCAAAACTAGGCAGTTCCAGGCCCTTGTAGGAGCAGATGGGCCTTTGACAACTTTTCAGTTGTCCATGTCACCTCCGGTCATTCCTGGACATCTAGGTTCTGGAGTCTAAGACCAGACAATACTCAGGGAAAGAAGGAGCTGTAACATGAGGGGCTGCATCCGAGCCAAAGAGGCAGATAGGCCTCCCCTCAAAAGCCCTGGGGCTAGGAGACCCCAGAAAAAGAACGGAGGGCTTGCTGGCAGCTATGCTTCCCTGGTGCTTAGCTCACAACCACAGCCGGGGGACACATTTCCTGTATGTCGGGTTTTACCCATTTAAGTCCAAGGATGCAACTCTCTTGAGAGGGTGGCTTCCACCCTACCCGGCTCCCGGCCATTTGGAGCGTTAGCACTTCTCCCTAGCTCCCCTAGAACCCGGCTAGTCCTTTCTGGAGCGGAAAGTGATGCGCTTTCCAAGGGCAGAGACAGACAGACCCAGAGGGCGCTGGGACTCGCCCCTGCGGATCACCCAGCTGTCGGGGTGTGAAGTCAGGAAGAAGATGAATCAAGAAGGGGAAGGCGGGGGCGAGCCTCCAGAGGCTGCACCCCGTCATCTCCCGGGCCGCTGGAACCCTTTCCTCCTCCTCCCCCCACCTCAGGCTTTCTGAGGAGCTGTTCTTGCATGGCTTTCCAGGCCCATCTTTTGCACGCTCCACTCCCAATAGCGGGCTGCCAAGGACCTTGTCCCGTTCTCTGAGCGCCGGGCACACCTCGGCGACACCCGAGAGCTAAGACCGCGCTTTAGACGCCTCTTTCCCCAGCTCGGGCCCTCAGCTCCGCCTTCCTGGCCTCCTCGATTTCCTGAGACCCCCACCCCCCTCAGTTGCCACCTCAGCCACGTCCTCTTCGCAGCCGCCACTCAAAGGCGCCATCGAGCCCCGTAAGCGGGCCAGCCTCGCCCCCATCAGTCTCCCCGCGACCCCCAGGCCGCGTCCCACCCTCGCTCCCCGGGACACCAGCACCAACCCCGGCTCGGGTCTCCGGTCAGGAGAACTGCTGCGAGAACTCACCTGAATCTCGGCAGCCGCGCGCCGCCGGTCCTCGGCCGGCTCCCTGCCCGGACGCCCGCCAGCACGCCCGCTGCTCCAGGCCGCCCCGCCCCGCCTTGCCGCGCCGCGCCTTGCCCGCTGCTCCCCCCTCCCCCCCGCACCGCGCGCTCCCACTTCCGGGTTCCGGAGGGGTCGAGAGGGCGGGGCTCCAGTGCGCCAGGGAGGAAGGGCGCTCCGGGCCACGCCCACTAGAGCCACGGCCCCGCTGTAGGTGCGGTCTCATTTTCTGGCTCCCGTGAGCTGCGAGAGGCGGGGCGCTACAGAGCCCTGCCCCCTCCGAGCGCGCTTCCAAAAAAAGCCGGCACCTCGGCGTCGCTCGCTGGCACGCCCCGGCACTCCGCGGTCCTGCCGGCCTCCTAGCGGGCGGAGACCCGAGAGGCGGCTCTTCGAGTGGAAGGCGGGAAGATGGCGGACTCCTCGGAGCGGGGCGCGGGGTGAGTTGGGGGCGCAGTAGGGCGGGATTTAGGGGCACCGGAGGGCTGGCCAGAGCCTGGGCTGACGGGTGCCCGAGCGGGAGAACGGGGCTCCTTAGAGCCACTCCCCGAATCCCTACCAGCCTGGAAGCCCGGGCTCTGAGCATCTCCTCTGCGGCTCAGAGTGGAGTTGCGCGTGGTACTTTGGTGTTGGCAGCAGGCAACTTAGCCTCACGGTTCCTAGCTTTTGCTTCTAGGGGCGCGCTCAACCTCCTGAGTTCTGTGTGCCACTTGTTCTGTTTTGGTTCCAAGACAGGGTCTCTTGTAACCCAGGCTCGCTTTGAACTCTCCAGTTCCTGCCACTCTTCCTGCGGGGAAGTGTGCGCCCCCCAGCAGCCGCTGGATTAGTTAGTCTGCTGCACCACAGCACTGCGGGGATTCATCCTTGTTAGTGAGCTTGGGAAGTATTGGATCCTCGATTGTTTTTTTTTTTTTTTCTTAGAATTTCCGGTTTACTTCTTTCCTGAAAGGAGTTTTGTAGCAATGATAAGGGAAGAGTCGGGGAGTTACAAAACAATCGCTTGAGAGTACTGGTCTGGAAAGTGATAAAAATCTACACCTGGGCGGGTTGATGCTAGTGGCACCCACAAGTACTCAGTGATGGTCAAGAAACTCTCCCACCCCACCCGAGCTTCACTAGAAGCCTGCCTGTCTGCACTGGCAGGAGGTGGAGGTGGGAGAATCCCGAGTTCAAGGACAGCCTGAGTTGCCTACCTGAGGACCTGTCTCAAACCAGTTTTGGTTTTGTTTTTTGTTTGTTTGTTTGTTTGTTTTTGGTTTTTTTTTTTTTCGAGACAGGGTTTCTCTGTGGTTTTGGAGCCTGTCCTGAAACTAGCTCTTGTAGACCAGGCGGGCATCGAACTTACTGCGATCCACCTGCCTCTGCCTCCCTAGTGCTAGGATTAAATGCATGCGCCGCCACCACCACCTGGCCAGTTTTTGTTTTTGTTAGGAATATTTCTTAGACGAGCCTCTCTGCCAACACAAATAATTTCAATCAGACAAAATTAGAATGAATAAAAGAAGCCCATGTTTGATGCAGCGCTCCTGGGTGGCACCAGGAAAGCATGGTGAGTGGAAGAGAGAGAAGGGGAGACCATGTGTTCATATTTTGGGGGACAGCCTAAAAACCCTGTGGGAGTGATCCTGACCCTCCCTGGGGAGGCTTGGTGGGCTTTCCCAGGGGAGGGGGCTTGAAATGGATGCCAGGGGCTGGGGTGATGCTTTCACCCAAACATCCCAGACTCTTGGATATAGACTTGGGACCTGAGTCAAGTTTGGCTACTTCCTGCGAGCATGGAGTGACATTGGCAAGGGGGGAGTTGGTGGGCTCATGAGAGGCGTGGCTGGAGTGGCTTCCCATTTACTGTCATCCTGGAGACCTCAGGCAGCTGTTGGTTGAGGGAGATGAGAAGGCAGGTGGCATTTGTTATCATTGGCCCTATGAATGGGGCTAGCCATGGGAAGTCATTAACTGCCAGAAAGAATGGGACAGAGAAGTGCCCTAGTTGTACAGGTGAGGCTCGGGTGTATAATTGGGACACACTAGCAGATAAAACCAGATTTTACTTGTTAGGTGTCCTTGATCCAGGAGAGTTAGTACCAGTGGTGAAGTCCCAGGAGCTGGTACAGGTGTTGGCGTTGTCTAGAGAGAGATTTGTAAGTTGGTCTTGGCCCAGATGGCCAGAGTGACCTGTAAAATATGCTTGAAAATGGGTGGGGTTAAAACAGGCTCTGGAGGGAGGGCTGGAGAGATGGCTTAGAGGTTAAGAGCACTGACTGCTCCCCCAGAGGTCCTGAGTTCAATTCCCAGCAACCACATGGTGGCTCACAGCCATCTACAATGAGATCTGGTGCCCTCTTCTGGCCTGCTGGCATACATGGAAGGAATGTTGTATACATAATAAATAAATCTAAAAATTAAAAAAAAAAAGGGCTTTGGAAGACTGTTAGTTGTTTGTTTGTTTGTTTGTTTTTTATTATTATTATTACCAGACCTGATTTTTGATACAGCAGTAGAACTTTTTCCAGAAACCTGTAGGTATCTGTAAGAGAACTGGAACATATTTACATCTTGGTATCATAGCAAAAGGCTATTGCTTTAGGTTAAAAGGTTTGCGCATTTTAGAAGACAAAGGGAATTGGGAACTCTGGATTTATTTTTAATTTTTATTTATTTATTAAAGATTTCTGATTCTTCCCCACCACTGCCTCCCATTTCCTTCCCCCTCCTCCAATCAAGTCCCCCTCCCTCGTTAGCCCAAAGAACAATCAAGTTGCCCTGCCCTGTGGGAAGTCCAAGGACCACCCACCTCCATCCAGGCCTAGTTAAGGTGAGCATCCAAACTGCCTAGGCTCCCACAAAGCCAGTTCTTGCAGTAGGAACAAAAACCCATTGCCATTGTTCTTGGGGTCTCAGTAGTCCTCATTGTCCACTATGTTCAGCGAGTCTGGTTTTAACCCGGGCTTTTTCAGACCCAGGCCAGCTGGCCTTGGTGAGTTCCCGATAGAACATCCCCATTGTCTCAGTGTGTGGGTGCCCCCCTCGCGGTCCTGAGAGCTCGTGCTCTCTCTCCTTCTGCTCCTGATTTGGACCTTGAGATTTCTGTCCGGTGCTCCAATGTGGGTCTCTGTCTCTGTCTCCTTTCATCGCCTGATGAAGGTTAATATTCCGGAGGATGCCTATATGTTTTTCTTTGGGGAACTCTGGATTTTTAAGATACACCTGTTAATCTGAACTATGAAGCCTTGAAAGAGGCACACCTGTTAGTATTTTAGCAGGAAACTTCAAATGAAGTAATGAGCTACCAGTACCTTAAGTTATCAAATGCCATGGATGAAGTAATAAGTTAACAGGACCCTAAGTCACCAAATGCCATTAGACAGATCTAAGGGGATAAATGGGCCAAAATGAGACACCTGTTTTAGCTACGCAGGCAATCCCAAGTCTCTCCTTGGTCCTCGGAGAACATCAGCCTGGAGGCAGTGATTGCTGTTAGCTGCTAGGTACAAGAGGCCCAAGATTTTCCTGTGTAGGGAAGATTTAGTCCACTTGTCTTGGCAGGATGAGAAGGTGGCATCCAGGAAGCTGAAGAGGTGGAAGGCCGCTTTTTGGTGTGGGGGTGTCTTTGCCAAACCCAAAGGCAAGCCTCAAGGTGGAAGATCTTTGTAACCACTTATCTTCTTGGAGGAGCTATAGGGTGCCGTGGGAGCTGGCATGTCTGTGTTTAGCTCTCTTGTTAAATGCTGTACCCTCAGATCTGTAAAGGCACTTGAGAATTGGGCACCATTACCTGTTATATTTAAACTGGACATATAAGCTGAATTTAGGCATGTATTTTATCCAATTAATTACAGCTTACCAAAGCTAGTAAATGTAAGACTATTAAAAGGAATATTTTAATAAGTTTAAGAATACTAGCATACTGTCACAGAACTCCCTGTGGAGACTCTGTGAGCTTCCAGCTCACAGAGATCTGAATGAAAAATGAGGACGTGGCCCAGCAGTGGTGCTACAGGCCTTTAATCCCAGCACTTGGGAGGCTGAGGCAGGTAGCTCTCACCAAGGCTTTTACACAAAGAAATTTTGTCTCAAAAAAGAAGCGAAAAAGGAAAATGAGGACACGACTGCTCCAACATATATGGTTGAGGAGATTTTTGTAGATATGAGGGAAAGTACAGCCAGAAGCATCAGGAAAAAAGCTGAACCTACCCAGCAGCCTGAACCAGGCCATGAGAAGAGAGAGAGGGAGCAAAGAGAGCACTAGAAACGTACAGACCAAGTGGACAAAATGGCTGAGTTATATAGAAAAGAGAAGCTGGGGAACTTCAGGGTAGGGGCAGGGTATGCCTGCCAGGCTGGCTCTGTGACAGGCACTTGGGATGCTGAGAGATGATAAGTTAAGTAGGCCCCTCACTTAGACACTTGACCCAACGAGGTCCACCTGCCTCTGCCTCTGCAGCTTATAGGCTTGCACCACCACACCCAGCCCCAGGCCAGCTTCCTTACTCGCAGGTAAAGGTGCTGCCACCAAGCCTCATGGCCTCAGGATTCCCAGGACCCAACTACAATAGTCGTCCTTTGCCCTCCCGTGTGTCAGAGGACGTGAGCACCACATACTGCATCAGATTTAAAAGGCTGAAGTGCGAAAGAGAAGAGGCCGGTGGGTGGAGCCTCCTGACCAGCACTACACCTCAGACTTCCAGCTCTTTACACAGGTAGTGATGGGCACAGGACAGGTCAAGGCCATGTTGCTGAGGCCTCTGTGACTGATGGGCAGACCCCGGGGCATCCTGAGGGACCACAGCAGGTGAAACTGCCCTGCTTCACAAGGCCAAGCCCCCACCATCTGTGGGCTTCAGGTAGAAGCCAGCAGCAGAGGCTTGAGACCCCCAGAGCTGAACTGCTGGGGACTGATCTCAAGTCCTCTGCAAGAGCAGCAAACTCTTTATCCTGCAAACTGTCTGTCCAGCCCTGGTAGGAAGATGATGAGTTCTGGGCCAGCCTTGGCTGTGGCGTGTGACCCTGTTAGTGTATGTGTGTGTGTGTGTGTGTGTGTGTGTGTGTGTGTGTGTGTTAATTATCACTGAACAAGCCTGACAACCTGAGTTTGGGTCCCCAGAAGCCACATAAAAACTGGATGCAGTAGTGCCTGCACTCCCAGCACACCCTACAAACAGGAGAGTCTGCAGGAGTGAGGACTGGCTAGCCTGGTATACGCAGCCGTGGATGAGAAGGTGGAACGTGACCTATGCTAAGATTGTCCCCTAACCTCTCTGCAGGCACCACGGTATGCACAGTTGGTGGCACTTACACAGCTGCACTCACACAGACAAACACAGAATAAATAAAAATGAAAAATATTTAGAGAATACAACTATTTGGTGACATATGAGCGATGTGTGACCCAAAATATACTATGTCAGCAAAGTTTTGTTGCCACATGGCCCACCCATTGTGTCTGTCAGCTTTGGTACTAGAATAGCAAAGTTGAGTAGTTGCTGGTCATGATAGTGACCGGGAGCCTAGGAAACTGACGCTTTGCAGAGAAAGGCTGTGTCACCGTCCTCTCCCCAACCTGCCATCTCATCCCTACTGTTGGACTCTTCCCTTCTGTCTTCTCCAGCCCCTGTGCTTGCAAATCCTCAGCCCCAGCCCTTCCTAAGCCCTCCCACCTCTCTGGCTGTGTCACACCAGCCTGATGAGACAGGGATCTTCCTGGTCGGGAAGCTCTGATCCCTGTGGGCCAGTGTTCTACTGCCTTCAGGAGGAAGCTGGTCTTGTGGGGGTTCCACCGCCTGCTTGTCTAGGGACGACCTTCACATGCCCCGCTGCAGCTGACAGAAGGTGGCTCTGGCCTCAGCAGATCTTGTAGCTGGATGAACAGCTCATCTCTCTTCTCTCTTGTAGGAAGCCCGCAGCCACTGGTGCCCCCAAGACAAAAGGAAGAAAAGTACAAGGTGAGCGCTTCAAGGAAAGTGTTTTGTTTTGTCTTCATCAACGATTTTTGTTTAATTTTTTTATTACACGTGTATTGATTTCTTTGGAGGGGTGTGCATATTGTATCATGAGTATGGAAGTCAGAAGGGAACTTGTGGGAGTCAGTTCGTCATCAATCAAGCTGGGCAGCAAGCAAGTGCCTTACATGCTGAACCTTACTGTTCTCTGAGAAAGTCTCATGGAGCCCAGGTTGCCAGTCAGCTCCTGATCCTCAACCTCCCGGGTGCCATCTAGTTCATGAAAGGGGTTTCTTGGGGGCAGGGGAGACAGAGACAAGTCTGAAACTTCCACTGCTCAGTGGCATGCTTTTGGGGACTCGGGGTTGTCTTTGTCCCTGAGGTGTCCTGTGACTGTAGTTGTCCTTTGGAGAGTTGAAGTCCCTCGAAAGTGTAGCTCTAGATGTGCACAGGCCACAGATCCAAGTTCACTCAGAAACCTGTGGAGCTGCCCGGTGTGGGTGCTGGAAGAGCAAGTGCTCCTCGGCCTCATAGGCTTCTTTTGTGTGTGTGTGTGTGTGTGTGTGTGTGTGTGTTACACTTCATGTGGGGCAGGTAGCACATATGCCATACACATGGGGGTTAGGCATAATTTGGGTGGTTGTTTCTCTCATTGCACCATAGGAGTCCAGAGGACTAAACTCGGACCCTCAGGGTTGACAGTGATCACTGGACCTGGTGGGGTTTGGGGCTTGGGGTTTGGTCTTAGGGATGGATCCCAGGGCCCCGCATTTGCTAGGCAAGCACCAAACCACTGACCTATATCCTCAGCAGATTTTTGTTTGTTTACTGCGATGGCAGAAGTAGAATTGGGTCCCTCACTGTGTCAGTTGAGCACCGTGCCACTGAGTGGCCCCAGCCCAGCAGTTTTGTGTGTAACCTATGACATGTTTGCATGCTGTCTGGTTTTGTTAACACTGGCCAGGCCAGACGCCCCAGCCACCACCAAGGGGGCCTGGATCTGTGAGTGAGTCTCATGAGGGTCCCACCCGTGATAAAGGCTGGAGTGGGTGGGGAGGAAAGAGCACGGACATAGGCCTTCCCAACCCAAAGGTACAGAGTCTGACACGGCTCACGTGTGCCCCAGCTTCCCTGCCCCTGGGCTGCTGTGGGCTCTTCTCCTGTCTTTAACTTTATTGTTACTTTTTAATCTGCTAGCTTCATTTAATTGAGAAACATGAGTGGTCGAGGTATGTAACAGCGTAAGCGAATGCAGACAGATTGTCAAAATATAGACAGCTTTAATGGAGGAATAGACTTACAGAACCACCGTTCCTGCGGAGACCAGAAAAGTAGAAGCAAGCGCTGGGAGCACTCGCCAAATTTATAGGCAAACTTTAGCCTGAGGCGAACACGCCCCCTAAGGGGTAGGACTTACCCCTACAGAGGTACAAACAAACAGACCAGCTGTAATGAGAAATCTGGAGTCTTCCATGGTTGGCAAACAGGGTCTGGGAGCTGGCCTGGGCACATAGACCAGTGGGCCTGTTTGTCCTGGCTGCAGGCTCAACATGTTTAAACTGAACCAGGGTCAGATTCCTACATCTGGGCTGCATTTTCCAAGCTTTTTCCTGGCACAAGCCCCAGGCAGAGTCTGACTTGGCCTTTTACGTCCATTACCTATGCTCAGAGCCTCTGCGGGATGTCAGCGAGAACCCCCAAATCCATGCCAGCATGGCCATTCCCTCACAACAGTTAACATCATCTAGGGTTACAGGAGTGGATCTTTATCCCTCTGATTTAAAGATAGAAAGGTGGGAGTAGCAAGACCTCAGTGGTCAGCCCAGCTTTACTGTACTGAGGCACAGAACAGAGATGGACTCCACCAGAGAGGGGTGGACCCAAAATACTGTGGGATTTGTTGTTTTGTGTTTTGGTAGTTGTGAGGGGGGTGTGCACATGAATGTAGATGCTCTTGGACACCAGAGAGAGTGTTGAATCTCCCAGAACTGATGTTACATCAGTTGTAAGCATCCCTGTGGGTGTTGGGACCCTAACTCTAGTCCTCTGCAAGAGCAACAAGCGCTTAACCACTGAGCCATCTCTCCTGTTCCTTTTTTTAAAAATTGCACTTATTTACTGAAGGTGAGGGGGAATACCATGGTGCACATATAGAGGTCAGAGGAAGGCTCTTAGGAGTCGAACCAAGGTCATCAGGCTTGGTTGCAAACCCTCCACCCAATGAGCCATCCCACTGGCCCCTGGCTTTCACGGTCTAGAATGTTTCTATCTTTGAACTTACTTGGCACTTGCTCCTACTCCAAGGACCCACATACAAGAGACGTTCCATCAGTGTCTTATGGACACTGAGTGTCCTGTGAAGGTACTAGATGCGGTAGCTGCCATGTGCATACTGGGGAGACTGAAGGAGCCAGTCTGCAGTGGGCAGTAAGGCTGGTGCTTTTCCTGTCATTGGCCCCGGCTCTCCACTGTGGGGTCCTGCTCATGCTCTATGTCTTCATGGTGCAGTATTCCTCTTCTCTAACAAACACTGTGTCGTCTGCAGGAGGAAGAGTGGTTGAGTCCAGATACCTGCAATATGAGAAGAAAACTAAGAAGGTAGTGGAGTCTTTTACCCTTGGAGCCACTAGGAAAGGGTGGAGGGCACGTGGCAGCTGCAGCCCGATCCTGGAAGACACCATTGGGGCCTTTGCAGCCTCCAGGTTTGGGCACAGTCCTGAGTCTCTGCTGAGAGTGACACCAGTGTCCATCAGTCGTATGTACCTTCTCTGCCCCTCCCGCTTTGGGGGCCTCTGTTCTGTCAAATCTGTCCTCCAGCACTATCCCTCCACACCCGGGAGGCTCCTGAGTGATGGGCACTGACAGCAGCACTCAGTGTGGGCCACAGGCACAGCTGGCAGGGGTGACGTTCATGTCTGCATCTTCCTATGTGATGCTTTTTCAGCTGTCAATAAGCAAGGCTGGCAGGTCTTCCTGAGGTCCCAAAAGCTGCAGTGCATTGCAAGAATGGGGGAAACATGTTGAGGTCAGCTGCAGGCTCATCCCTGTGGTGACACATCCCTGGAGCACAGGATCCAGTTCCTGGTTGTCTGTCAAGGCCAGGCAGCACTGCTGAGCACAGGCTTGGTTTATGACAATCAGAAGGTTATGTTCCCATCTGCCTGGCCTGTGCCCCAGGAAGTGTGAGGGTTCCCAGGATTCCTGAGGCTGTGACTGGAAGTCTGGTTTAAGGGAAGGGATTCTCACATCACCCTGCAGACAGCTTCCCCAAGCTACTTATCCCTGCTTCCATTCACCCTGTGGCTGTTGAAACCTTGAAGGCTTGGCCACAGTGCCCCCATGTGTCTATACAAGGCATTTTGGTTCTGGTAGCCCATCAGGTGACCTTGGTCTGGCTGGAGTCTTGAGTGTCTGTTGTCTGGTAACTTTAGCCTGCTGCTTTCTCCTGAGGCTGAATGGATCTCAGAAGGGCTGGTCCTGAGTGGAGCCCCTTCCAGCTGAGCAGCCCTTTCCCTGAGTGTAGGGCAGATGATCTTGAGTTTCAGATTTCAGTTGTGGATAAGGGGTGCTCGGGCTGTGCTGTGTGCTCCCATTCCTCTGAACTGCTACACCATTCCACGTGTCTCCCAGGCACACTTTTGTGACTTTAGTAGGTGTCTCCAAGGCAGTTGGTGGTGGGCATTGCTCTGCATTGGTCCTTGTTCCTTTTTGTGTGTGTGTGTGTGTGTGTGTGTGTGTGTTGCAGGTTGTACAACCATGCATGTACACATGGATGGATGCCAGAGTGAAATCTTTCTTTTGTGACAGGATCTCACTGACCTGCCAGCTCTTGGGATCCTTTTGTGTTCCTCATCCCTTGCTAGGGTGAGACGTTCTTGTGGATTTGTTTCTGTGTAGATGCTGGGGATTCAAACTCAGGTCTTCAGACTTGCAAAGTGACTGCCAGAGCACACACCACACAGCCCTGCTTGTTGGCCGTTAAATTCTCATTTTGTTTCTGGTTTGTTTGTTCTAGTATGTTCCACCTTGGACATTTTCTCGCTAGTGAGTCAGGGTTTTCAGTGGTTGGCTTTCGTGGCCTGTTGTCAGCAGCCACAGGCAGCAGCTCTCGTGTCATTGAGCACAAGTTCTGAATTTGCTTTTAAAAGACCAATCAATATTCCAGCCAGGCGGTGGTGGCAGGCATAGGCAGATCTCTGTAAGTTTAAGGCTAGCCTGGTCTACAAGAGCTAGTTCCGGGAGAGATAGGGCTGTTGCACAAAGAAACCCTGAAGCATGATTAATAAATGCTCAGAGTCAGAAATTGGGTTTCAGTCTGAAGGTCTAAAAAGTAAAACAGCCAGCCACTGGCTCTTGCCTCTCCCTCAGTCTGAAATGGCGATCCTGCCTCCAGATTTCTCAGAATGAGACTTGTCTGAGAACTGTCTCCCCCATCTTATTCCTCTGTAGGGCTGGGATTAAAGGTGTGTGTCCCCATAACCTGGTCTGTAAGGCTGACCAGTGGGACTGTTTTACTCTCAGATCTTCAGACAGTCTTTATTTATTAAAATACAAAAAAAAACCCTATCTCAAACACCCCCCCCCAAATAAAAGACCATTATGGATTTTTTTCTTCCTTTTTTTTCTTTTATGGACAGTGTCTTTCTACATATTCCTACCTGGCCGGGACTTAGAGAGATCCACCCCTCTGCCTCCTGAAGGCTGGAATTAAAGACAGGGCCACCACGTCCAACCACAATTGTTGGTCATATGTTGTTGGACCTTCTTTAGACTGCCAGTTCCCAAATGATGGCACAGAGACTTCTTATTAATTATGAAAGCTTGACCTTAGTCTAGACTTGTTCCCAGCTAGCTCTGCCAGGTGGTGGTGGTGGCACACACCTTTAATCCCAACATTCAGGAGGCAGACAGACCTCTGCGAGTTCAAGACCAACCTAGTTGAAATTTCCAGGGCAGTAGGACTGTTTCACAGAAAAATTCTGTCTAAAAAAATAAAATAAAATAACATGCCTGTATTAGTCTACATTCTGCCATGTGGCTCGTTTCCTCTCAATACTGCTGACTCCCTCAGAGTCTCCCCGGCTTAATTATGAGAGCCTCTGATTCTTCCCGAGTTCCCTTCTCTCCTGGAACCCCACCTGTTCTCTCCTGCCTAGCTATTGGTCTTTCAGGTTCTTTTTAGCCAATCAGAAGGCGCCTTGGGCAGAGACACATCTTTACAGTGTACAAAAAGATTATCCCACAGCAGTCAGGTGTGTACTCAGACCTGTTGATGGAGCCCAGGCCTTCATGTGCCAGGGCCCAGCACCTGCTGGGGATTGACTGCATGGGATCCTGAGTCAGTGTCGGGGACGAGCTGGCATGTGGGTCTCAAGACCTGAACCCTGTGACTCTTCTTGGGTTCCCACAGGCTTGGTGTATGATGTGTGAGGGTGGCATCTGGCTTCGGCATGTGCCATTTTTAGTCTGGAATTCTTAAGGGTGTGCTTTTGAAACATTTTAATTGGCATTGAGTATACAAATAATGAGATTCATGGTGACTTTTTAAAAACTTAACTACATTTTTATTCATTAGAGTAGGGTTCGGGCCAACTGTACATATGGTTATCAGAGGACAGCCTGTGGGATTCTCCCCTTCCACCACATGGGTCCTGTGCATCAACTTGGTTTGGCAGTCTTGGTGGCAAGCACCTTTACCCTCTGGCCCAACTTTTTGTTTTTAGCTCCTGGTGCTAAAATTGAATATAAGACTCAAACATACTAGGCAAGCCCTTTCCCGGCACACCATTGAGAACAGTACATCGGATCACCTGGAGTCACCACGTGGTGCTGGGAGTTGAATCCAAGTTCTCCTCTTAACCAGCGAGTCAACTCTTCAGCTCCTGGTCACACTCAGTCCAGTTACCTTCACAGTGGGTTCTTCAGTATCTGACCCTACACCCCACAGCCCTTTGGCTGGTGTACCACCCGGGGGAGCCAGGTCTGCGTGAGTGTGTGCTCCCTTATGCAGATTGATCTGAGGGGAGGGCACCGGCACAAGCAGTTGTAGAGCAAGATGACCCTGAGTTCTGGAGCCAAGGCTGCAGCAGTCTCAGTGTGTAGTGGGAGCTGCAGGCAGGCCTGCTTTTCGTCCTGCCTGGCTCCCGCATGGTTAGCTTTACGCCCGAAATAACAACACACAAATTGTGTTCATATAAACATTGCCTGGCCCATTATATCTAGCCTCTTCTTGGCTAACTCTCATATCTTGCTTAACCATTTCTAATAATCTATGTAGCACCACGAGGTGGTGTCTTACGGGGAAAGATTCAGCATGTCTGACCTGGCAGCTGGCTCCATTACATCTGGACCAGAGAGTAGAGGCATGGCAATTGCCTGACTTCCTGTCTTCCCAGTTCAGTGCCAGCCCCTCCACAGCACACGCAAACACACACCCATCGAGATGGCAGTCCAGCAGGTGTGCCATTAATTCCCATGTCTGATGAACCGTAGCTGTCCTCTGTTTAACTGTCCTGTGTTCGCCATCTCAAAACTCCTGCTTCTCCATCTGACCTTTAAGCAAATGCATCAAAGGTCAAGTGGCCTGACCTCTGACTGTCTATTTACATAACAGGCTTCTGTGTCTGCTGGAGGGAAGTCACCAGAGGGAAGAAAGACCAGCACCTTGCAGAAGATCAAAGGTGAGTCCTGGCTAGAGTTGGAGGAGTGGGACTCTGACAGCAGGAAGGAGCTGCCAGGCCTCCCCCAGGGCAATCAGGACAACCCCTCACAGACTGTCCACAGTCCAGCCTGATCCAAACAGTCCCTCAATTCCCAGGTGATCCTAGATTGTGTCAGGTTGTCAGTGAAAACTTAGCCTCAAGGGTCTCTGTCAGAAAGGATGTGGTTCAAGTGTGTGATGGGAGCATAGGCAGAGTGTCTGAGGCCCAACCATATGTCCATGGAACTACTTGCGGATCCAGGAGCTGCTACTTGCTGTCAGTTTAGGATGCTACAGAAATTATAACCAATGGGGTACCTGACATTTGGACACTTGGGAGGTGGTGGCAAGATCAGAAGTTCAAATCTTCCTTGGCCACGTGGGCTCCATTGAACCAGGGTGTGCATGAGATCCTATCTCAAAACACAGGAACAAAAATTTCTCTGTTCCCAGGCGGGGATAGGACGTTCTCATGTGCGGCGTGAGCACCACCTGAAGACGGGCCAGTCAGGAGTCAGGATCTGCCTGGCCTAGACAGGTGCTCACCTAACAGGGACTGACTAGGGTTAGGGTGTATGCAGACATTTTATTTGGATTTTGGCTTCTGATGGATGAACCACAGCTGCTGGTTGGCCCTCGGTGCACAGGATGCCCCTGGCTGGGATCTAGTTGGCCCAGAGGTCTGCAGTACCAAAGCTGAGGAACGTTGTTTGTTTGTTTTTGTTTTTCTCATTTTTTGTCATTGGTAGTTGTTCCTGATGCCTTGGCACATGTGATGTCCTAGACAACTCTGGAGTTCTCTCCCTCCAGCTTCCTGCGAGTTCAGGGATCGAGCCCGTCATCGGGCTTGCCAGGCAAGGAAGCGTCTTTATGGGCTCAGCCAGCCAAACCATCCCATTTTTTTGACACAGGGCCTCATGTACCCTTGACTGGCCCAGAAGTTGCGTTGTAGCTGAGGACAGCTCTGAATTCCCAAGTGCCAGGTTGGGCCTTGAGCATAGGAGCTACTAACTTCACAGCTCCAGGAGCCTGGAAGGCCACTGTCACTGCTCTACCTGGCTGTAGAAAATGAAGTTTCTTGACTCTTTCCTGCTCAACCCTGCTGTAAAAGCAGAAAATAGAGTCCTTCCCCACCTCTCTCACAGGTCACCACTTTGAATGGATTACTTTTTATATTTAGGATTTGAAGATTGTGGTGTATGGGTGTAGCCAGCCCAGGGCTTGTCCAGCAGGGAAGGATTTTCCCTCCACTAAGAAGAAAGACTGAGCCTGATAGCACCATGTGCCCGTTAGTCTATTTCTGTGGCTGTAACAGAATGCCTGTGCCTGAGAAGTTGACAGGTTTTTATTTGTTCATTTTTGAGGCAAGGTTTCACTGTGTGGCCCAGGCTGTCCTGTAACTCGTCGAGATCCCCCTGCCTCTGCCTCCTGAGTGCTTGACTAAAGGAGTGTGCCACTAAATTCTGCTTGGTGGTAATTTGTTCTTCCAAGAAGAAATTATTTTGGGCTAGAGAGAAGGCTCAGCAGGGGCTGGAGAGATGGCTCAGAAGTTAAGAGCATTGCCTGCTCTTCCAGAGGTTTTGAGTTCGATTCCCAGCAACCACATGGTAGCTGACAACCATCTATAATGAGATCTGGTGCCCTCTTCTGGCCTGCAAGGATACATATAGGCAGAACATTGTATATCTAGTAAAATTTTAGAGAAAAGGGTGGGGGGTAAATCTTTTTTGTTTGGTTTTCTTATTTCTTTTCCTTTATTTTTTCTTTCTTTTTTTTTTCAAGACTGGGTGTCTCGTGCTACAGTCCTAGTTGTCCTGGAACTCGCTCTGTAGACCAGTCTGGCCTTGCACTCATAGAGACCCGCCTGCCTCTACAACCCTCCTCCTTGGGATTAAAGGCGTGCACCGCCACCACCTGGCAGTGCGTTTGTTTTTCCAAGACGTGGTTCCCCAGTATAACCCTGGTTTGTCTTGGACTTAGTTCTGTTAGACCAGGCTGACCTTGAACTCAGAGATCAGCCTGCCTCTGCCTCCCAGGTGCTAGAATTAAATGTGTAAGCCCTTAGGATTAAAGGAGGTCGCCCCACAAAAAAAAAAAAATCTTAAAAATCAAAAGGTTTCTCCCATGTGAGATGACTCGGCCAGTAAAGATGTTGGCTACATGCCTGGTGACCTGAGTTCAATCCCTAGGACCAGCATAGAAGGACCTCAGCCCAAACAGTCACACTCAACACAGTAAATAACTTATTAAAAACAGAAGGCAATTAAAGAGGCTATGGAGCTCACGGTTCTGTAGTCTATGCCCAAGAACAAGAGACCTGAGAAGCTGCCCCTTGCCTCAGCTGTGGAGCTCACAGGCCCAAGAGTCTAGCACCCACACACTCTGGAAGAAAGATTCCTGATGGCCCCAAGCTGTATTGAACCAAGGGGTGTGGGCTCAATGGCACTGACCGTGGCATTCTTCTCTGGGCAGAAGATAGCCTGGTGATGGGAACAGGAGGCCTACAGTCCACCATGCTGGAAGGGCACAGCACAGCCCCGCCCTGCCTAGACCTCTCATCCATCAAAGGTAACCGGTTTCTTTTAGCACCTAGGAGGCCAAGCTTGTAAGGATGGCCCCAGCTTTGGGCAGCCCTTGTCTCCAGTTTGACTCACTGCTGTGAGACCAGCATGTGCCTTTCATACACACCAGGCCTGGGAGTGGGTCCCAGGTGTTCTCTCCTGCCAGGCGGGGTGGCAGATCCCAGGTGGGGTGGCGGCAGCTGCATCTCCAAAAACTAAGGGAAAGAATGAAATGGTCTATTTTAGACACAAGCATGTCCAGGACGGCTCCCCACCTAGACAGGACAATGTCAAGGAAAGCTGAGCCCACGTCCTGTACCACTCAGAAAAAGACACGCCTTCCCAAGAAGAGACAGGTGAGCACTGGGGGAGCAGGCAATGGGTAGGTCTGACTCCCGGCAGCCAGTCCTTCAGGATGGAGGCTAGGGCTTTGGTGTCCATGGGTCCTTGCTCAGGTCAGTGTGCCTATATACTGAGTGGGGAGACACCCATACACTTCTGGGCAAGATGTGACCTGACTCCATCCTCAGCCCCGAGGACACTATTTATATTTGAACCTATAAAGTACACAGAGGTTGGGGTTCTGCCATGCCCAGAAGAGCCAGGTCAACATGGCTTACTGGGACCTGAACAGCAGGACCCTTGCAGGATCCACAGGAGACCATGGACATGATGGAGTCTCAGACACTGCTGCTGACCCTGCTGTCTGTGAAGGTGAGCTTAACTGCGCCTCACGAAACAGCGTGTGTCCTCTGTCACCTCCCCCACCCCACCTGAGTTGGTCTTGCGACCCACAGATGGAAAACAACCTGGCTCTGCTGGAGGAGAAGGCTGAGAAGGACTTGGCAGCCTTATGCCGTGAGAAGGAGCGTCTACAGCAGCGGGTGCTGGAGCTGCGGCGCCAGCTGCTGCTCCAGCAGAAACATCAGGAGCTGGCTACCATCCTGGATGCCCAAGTGGGTTTGAGCATGCTCCTGAGGTTAGGGATGCATGAGGGAGCCAGGATCAGGATTCCACCACTCACATTCTGCCCGCCCTGCTTAGTCTCCTGATACGAGTGTAGTACTGTGTATGGGACACCTATCTCTGCCACACAGTCTGCAGAATGCTTGGCACCTGCCAGCTTTGATGTTGTCCCACCGTGGAGCTTAGCATAGCAACAGGGCCCCATCCAGGGCAGGTCAGATGGGGTCCTGTTACCTGGAGGCTGGCCCTTCTTGTGCGAGTGAGCGGTGTGTCTTACAGTGTCCCCTTCTGCCTGCAGATGGAGGTGCTGGGCCCTCTCGAGGCTGTAGCAAAGCGCTTCAAGGAGGAATACAAGACACTGGCCACAGCCTTGGACGCCACTCGACATGAGCTGCCCGTGCAGGGCATCCACATGCAGGGAAGTGGGCAGGAACTCCTAGGTAGGAACAGCCTTGCTGTGTGGCATTGCCTCAGCAGGAAGGAGCCCCAAGGCTCACATGCACCATATTCTAGGTGCCTCTACCCTGGGGTGGTGTTGGAACCCGTGTGGAACAAGTAGGACACAGGCAGCTGAGTCAGGATTCCAACCCCAAGCTGGACCTCACGGCTGGAAGACTCTGGGGGCAGGGTGACCTATCTACCAGCCCTGAGCCCTGGGCCCTACCAACAGGGTGGGGGTGTTGAGAGGTCACTTGAGCAATTCTCTGGAGCAGACATCCTCCTTAGGACTTTTCAGCTGCACAGGGTTTACTCAGCCTGGGCTATGTAACAAATGAAAAAGGTACAGTGACCTTCATTTATTGTCTGACTCTTGGGAGGCTGTGAGTTCCAGGCCAGCCTGAGCTACAACACAGTGAGACCCTGGCTCCATAAAAGAGCACAGTGTTGACCTGGACCCTGTAGCGATCCTCTTACCAAACTGCCCCTAGCAAGTCTGTACCCAGCACAACCCTAGCGCTGAAGGTGAGGTGAAGACACAGCAGGAACAGGTCCTCTAACCCTCATGACCATGCTGGGTTGTGTGTAGTGCAGGTCTGTGCCTGGGACACACAGCTGCTGCAGATACCAGAACCTCAGCTCTTTAGATCTGGAGGCCAGGAAGTGCAGGTCCAAGCCACATCTGGCAGGTGCATCCTGCTTGTGCTCGTAGTGGAAGGACAGGGGGTGAAAGAACAGAGCAACGGCTTCCAGCCTGAAGCCCCAGCTCCCCTGGTCCACAGGAGCCTCCTGGGCAGCAGTCACAGAAGCACCTGTGCGCTCCCCACTGGGTTTGTCCTTACCAGCATGCACTTGGCACCCACACTCCAGGGACGAGTGAGATCTCCTAAGATCCCTCCCTTTGGCCCTGTTCCCTGAGTGAGAGAAGAGCCAACTCTGGACAGCTCAAACAGCTGCTGCTTTGGGCACCGGAGTCCTGCTAACAGCCTGTATCTCCACAGATGATCTGGAGCCGGCCCTAAAGACCACCCTGCAGCTCCTGGGCAAGCTGGGCATCTCCTCCCCGGACGCCAGCGGGCAGGTGTCACGCCTGCTGGAGGAACTCAGGGACTTGATTACCAAGAAGGACCGAGAGCTCTACAGGTGTGGGTCAGGCCTCCCCCTTTCCCCTCCATCCCTCCCCTCCTCTCTCCATCCCTCCCCTCCTCTCTCCATCCTCCCTTTCTTTTCAGTTGTGTTGCTGGAGGTGGAACCCACCCAGCTGCTATCTCAGGTGAAGACTGTTTGGGCTTTTGAGGACTCAGCTATTGAGTGCCTCACTACTACCGCGCTGTTCCACTCCTAGCCCACTTCTGAGTTCTGAGACACTGGGACCTTGGGTGCAGTGAAGCCATCAATTCATACTGTGCCAGAGTCCAGCAGAGTAGGACTGGGGACAGTAGAGACCTGAGGTCACCACGGGCAAGGAAAGCATCCCACACTCAGTCTCATGCCCTAGACAGGGCAGCTCCGGGCCAGCAGGGGACAGAGGGAGCCTTTTCTGAGCCTGACAGTTGCTCAACACATGTTAAACGTCATTCAGAGATCAGTCTTAGCAGGATGTTTGGGGGTTTCTTTTTGTATGTTTTGTTTTGTTTCTAGACAGAGTTTCTCACTCTGGAACTCACTCTGTAGATCAGGCTGGTCTCGAACTCAGAGATTCACCTGCCTCTGCCTGCCAGGAGCTTGGAGTGAAGCTGCACACCACCACTGCCTAGCCAGTCTGGTGGTTTCTTGAGGGACACTGTTGTTTTGTGTGCTTTTCTAAGACAAGGTCTCAATCTGTAACCCAGTGTGGCTTTGAACGTGCAGAAATCCTCCCACCTCAGCTTGCAGAGTTCTAGAATGGCAGGCGTGAACATCACACGTGTTGGTTTTTCTTTTTTCTTTTTTTTTTAACGCATTTTTATGTTTGGGCACGTGCATGCCAGGGCATGAGTGTAAAGGTCAGAGGACAGTTTTGGGATCTGTTCTCTCTTTCCACTTTGTGGGCCCTAGGGATCAGACTGAGGTCATCAGGCAGGCTTGGAAGCAAGCACCTTCACCCACCGAGCCATTTTGGCCACCTCAAAAAAAAATGCATTTAAGGAGATGCCCATAGGAGTTCTCAGGGACTCTGAAGCGCCATACCCAGCGCTGGCCCACAGGATGGGTCAGCCACCACTCACATGGAGCAGAGTGCTTGTGACCCCCCCGTGCTTGTGACCACTGTATGGCCGCAAGTTTTCCCTGTCAGTATCCGAGCAGTACAGATGTACCTGGTATTCACTCTTGGACACATGCCCTCCGTCATCTAGGGGCTCTTAAAGTCTTCAGACACCTGGCCTTTGACCATGTGGTAATGGCTGAATCTCACATCTAGCTTGGCACCAACAAGGTCTCCTCACATAAAATTTGCCCACTGTTGAGGGTGTGGGGCACTGAGGTCCCAGGTGAACAGGAGGATGAAGGATGCATTCAAGGCTCGCCACACAGCTCTTTCCTACTAGGCCTGGGGGCACAGATCTGTCAGCTGTCTCAGCTGCTTGGGGGCTGAGACAGGAGGGTCATCAGTTTAGAGTCAGCCTAGGAATCTTAGGTGCTGTCTCCTTCAAAAGAGGGAGAGCTGGGGATGGAGGGAACTCAGTATACACAGGCCCTGCTTCTGTTTGCAGCACCATATGGACACATGCACACTTGTCCCCACGTTTGCAGCCACCCTTGTTGACTTCCAAAGACACCATTAGGGTCCTGAGATCAGCCAGCAAGGAAAGCCTGGTGTCCTGAGTTCAGTCACCAGGATCTGTATGGAAGGAGAGAACCTATTTCTTTAAAAAGTTTGTTTTTCTAAGATCTCCTTTAGAGTTCTTGGCCAGAAGCGAAGTTGTCCCTTCTTTTTCTTCTGCCCACAGGATCTTTGATTTGGCGATGGACCTTTCCACCCTGGCCAGCAAGGAGGCGGCTCTGATAAACCAAGAAGCCTGGGAAGAGGCCCAGGGCACCCCAACCTGCGGCCAATGGTACTTGGGTCCAGAGGCCGCAGACATCACCACTGCTGTAAACAAGTAGAGAATAAATGTCAAAACTTAAGTCTACAGTTCATTCTATGTGGCATAATCATTCAAGTGTAATTTAAAACAGTCTGAGACTGTGATCATCTAATGAGAAACAAACAATTTCATATTAATGAGAACCCATTTGCCAATAATTCTGTCATTTGTAACTTGAATCAGTCATCACCCCTGCAAATAACCCTTTCAAGACATTATTTTCAGTTTTGTCCTCTGCTTTCTGTCCTTGATGTTGTGAAAATGGCTGTCTACTGTTACAGGAATGAAAAGAGATCCCATTCAAACACCTTTTGTGTTTCCACTTTCAGTGAAAAATGTTTTTCAAACCTGCAGCTGGTTATTTCTGCAGGAGTTCCCACTTATGCTCAGATTTGATTGACATTTTGAAATGGCAGCTTTTCATGAAAAGCTGTTGCCTTGTAGAATTCAGTTATGGCACTAGGACAGACTGACTTTGTTCTGTGGCTGGGACCTGTCCAAACTAAATAGAACCCTGCATCTGAATTTAATAGTCTACTCAGCCTAGATAGGGCACTTTGCCTTTTATTTTTCCTCTAAGACTGATGCTTCTTATTTGTACTAAAATGAATTTGATGGATATTCATCCCAACATCCTTCTGTTCTGTAGTTACATTAATTGACATATAGTCATCTTTTTGTCCCTCCTCTTGACCAGCTAATGGACCAGGACAGGTTTTCATTTTTAGATAAATACTAATTGAGAAGAACTTCCTAATTTGCAACTAACATTTCAGAGCACAAAAAAAATTTTTAAAAATGTTTTAAGAGTTTTTCTTTTCCTAGTATAAAGGGCATAAATTTTTTTTGGAAACCCACTCCTGCTATAGTATATATTTGTTCCTTATGTGAAAGTATGTTACATATGATTATACAAACCTATTTGGCATATGATACTATGCAAATATAGTTTAATATTATTCCTCTGCTTATTTAACCAGTGGACAGTCTCAAGGACAGCGTGATATGTAGTGAAGTACACGAGCTGTGCTTCGAAGGAACTTTTATATTCACTGTCTTATTATATGTAACTGCCAGTCCACAAAGCTGTTAGCTCCTANGGACTTATCAACTTGAGGCTCTGCCTCGCTCCTCACTCTCCACCCTACCGGTTGTCACCCTTGGTCCCCAAGGCCGGCACTGCTGTCCTGTGTACAGCCTTTCACCCCAGGTCTGTGCTCAGGGTCCACGTGCAGGCAGGTGGCACATAGGTCCTGGTGAGTGTGTGGAACCTGCTGCTGTTGCAAACTCCTATAACCTCATAACCCCTTCTGACTCCAGAAAAGGTTTACCCTCGAGATCAGAGACCAGGGGTCAAAGCGGAACAGCCAAGGTCCCAAGACAAGACCAGGAGGAGCAGGGTGGGAGGGGTGTGGAGGTTGGGCCTGAGTGGGATTGGGGCAGTTTGGGGTGGGCTTTGTTTGAGGTGGGCTTCCTGGGTTGGGGTGTTGCCCGGTTTGGGCACAGATCTGTGTCAGTCTCCTTTCCCAGCACCTTCGCATTTCAGTCCGCAGTGGGGACCCCATGGGCCGGGAGCCCCTTAAGGCACCTGTTCAAAACTTCCAAGTGCCTGAACAGGTTCTGACTCTAAACTTGAGGTGCTCTCAATCTAAAGGTTTGAAAGTTGGCATGTCCAGTTAACTGTCCTCCCTAGCGACTGTTCCCCGTGCCATTTCCTGTCTTTCCAGAGCAGGGGTCACCAACCCCAACCTCCAGCACCTGCAGTGATGTCCTAGGGCAAGATGCCAGGTTGTACCCACAGATGTCAGTGCCTACACTTTCTGTGCTGGTCAGCAGAACCTGCTCAGAGTGCACCCCAACTTAGTGCTATGGGCTGGGTCACGTGCAGACCCCCAGAGACCCCACACATTTGAAAGGCCAAGGCCCAAGGCTGCTGCAGCCTGAGGAGTCTGTGTAATCCACACCTTTCAGCCATGTGGAAGTCCTGTGTCCACTGCTGCAGGGGCCACTAGTAGGTACAAGCTGACTCCCGAAGTCATGTGTGATCTTCAGCCCGCAGCCAACAACAGAATGTAGGGCTAGTCCCGAGGACCCAAGCCTGTTTGCACACAGAGCCTGGCTGCGGGTGACTTAGAGGCACGGTGGCCGGCCCCTGAGAGCAGTGCCCACCTTTGTTCCACCTGCAACTGGCCCTTTGGACTGGGGGAGGACAGGACACTAATCCAGGACGTGAGTGACTGCCATGTGTGTGCACGCTGCAGCACGTGACTGTCGTGTGTGTGCACGCTGCAGCACGTGTGTGAAAGTCAGAGGACAACTAGGCATGGGTTCCCTCCTACCATGAGGGTCAGGGGACCAAACTCAAGTCCTCAGGCTTGGCAGNTAGAGGCACGGTGGCCCCTGAGAGCAGTGCCCACCTTTGTTCCACCTGCAACTGGCCCTTTGGACTGGGGGAGGACAGGACACTAATCCAGGACGTGAGTGACTGCCATGTGTGTGCACGCTGCAGCACGTGTGTGAAAGTCAGAGGACAACTGGGAATGGGTTCCCTCCTACCATGGGGGCCAGGGGACCAAACTCAAGTCCTCAGGCTTGGCAGCCTTCTTCTTCTTTTTTTTTTTTTTTTAAGATTTATTTATTACGTATACAACTTTCTGCCTCCATTTATACCCACACACCAGAGGAGGGCGCCAGATCTCTTTACAGATGGTTTGGAGCCACCATGTGGTTGCTGGGAATTGAACTCAGGACCTCTGGAAGAGCAGACAGTGCTCTTAACCTCTGAGCCATCTCTCCAGCCCTTGGCAGCCCTCTCACCAGCCCCTGAGGGACCTTGTTAAGCGCAGGGACACCAAGAGCAGAGCTGAGGAACCAGATGGGCCAAGGAATCTTCATTCACCCCTTACAACATCTTAGGACAAGCATAGCAGAATGAATGAATGAATGAATGAATGAATGAATGAATGACCTGGGCGGCTTTTAAAGAGTACACACAGAGGGCAGGCAAGATAGCTCAGGGGTTAGCGCTTGCTGTGCCTGCATGGGGACTGAGTCTGGATCCCCAGAACCTGCGTAAAAGCCAGGAGCTGTGCACAGAGACAGTAGATTCTGGGAGTTCCTGGTGGGCCAACCTTGCCATAGGCAACGAGTTTCAGATTCACGAGAGACCAATCTCACAGATTAAGGTGGAGGCTGTGGAGACGGCTTGGCAGTTGAGAATTGGTTGCTCTTGTCGAAGACCCACGTGATAGCTCACAACCATCTGTGACTCCAGTCCAGGGGACCCTCTTACGACCTAGTCGGCACCAGGCACATGCAGTGCACAAACTTATATACAGGCAGAACACAGGCACACATAAAATAAGTAGTTTTGGTTTTTTTCAAGACAGGGTTTCTCTGTGTAGCCCCGGCTGACCTGAAACTCACTCTGTAGACCAGACAGGCTTTGTGCTCCAAGATCCGCCTGCCTCTACCTCCCAAGTGCTGGGATTGAAGGCGTGTGTCTCCACCACATGACCGTAAAATAATTTTTTAAAAACTTAAAGGTAGAGAAGAACTTGAGTAAGGCACCTGCACCTGTCATCTCTGCCCCCCCTGGTGCAGCCACGGGCTCATGCACACACACACACACACACATACACACACACGCCTACACACACACATACACACACATACGCACACACCTACACACACATACACACACACACCTACACACACATGCCTACACACACGCCTACACACACACACACACCTACACACACACCTACATACACATGCCTACACACACGCTACACACACACACCTACACACACCTACACACATGCCTACACACACACCTACACACACACACCTACACATGCCTACACACACGCCTACACACACACACCTACACACGCCTACACACATACCTATACACACACCTACACACACACACACACACACACCATAAAGACACACGCACAAAGCACAAAGGTTTAAAGTTGATCAGCTCACGATTCTGAGAGACCCCTTGACAAGATCAGTGTGTCCCGGGCTGGGTTCCTCTGAGGCTTTGAGGCAGAAACGGTCTCACTTCTGCTCTTTGGTGACCCTAGGCACCCTCAGCATCCCTTGATGTGTGGCCTCGTCTCTCTTGTCTGCCTCTGTAGTCACACATTCTTGTGCTCTGTCACTGTATTTTTTTTTTTTCGAGACAGGGTTTCTCTGTAGCTTTGGAACCTGTCCTAGAACTTGCTCTTGTAGACCAGGTTGGTCTCAAATTCACAGAGATCCGCCTGCCTCTGCCTCCCGAGTGCTGGGATTAAAGGTGTGCGCAATCACTGCCTGGCCCCTGTATTTTTTTTTAAGAACAGAGTTTTACATAGCCCAGGCTAGTTCTGAATTCACTATGTAGTCAAAGATAACCTCTTCCCTCGGCCCCCCTAGTGCCAGGGTGACAGGTGTGCGGCACTGGGGCCCACGGCTCCTCTTCTACAAGGGCATCGGCCACCACCCTTCTGTGAACCTCAGCTCCACTAATGACGGTTTTACCAATTGCATTTCCATATAAGGTCATGTCCTCAGGGTTCAGAAGAGTGTAGCTTAAGAGGGGATCCAGACCCCGCCTCAGCCGCCTGTCACAGAAGTGTAGAGGAACAAATGGCAGTCCCTCGGCGTCCAGAGTCTCTGGAGGCCTGGGAGGAGCTGCTGGTCTCTGGCTGGCGACACAACATGGCCCGTACCTTGTCCCTGAACTCGTGGGACACATAGTAGTAGATGAAAGGGTCCACGCAGCTGTTGAGAGTGCTGAGTGCCAGGCTGGGCACATAGGCTCCATAGAGATCGCCCCATGCCTCAGGACTTGGGTTTGAATAGTGCAGTACCAGCAGCACGTTGCTGGGTGTGAAAGAGGCCACTGCTGAGGCCAGCACCAGGGCCGTCAGTCTGAGTGCATGGCCGTAGCGCTGGCCACTGGCCACTGGCCACCAGTGCATGCAGGGTGGCCCCGTAGCACAGGCCCATAACCAGCAATGGCAGAAAGCAGCCCAGCACGGCCAGGCAGGTGAAGGCCGGTCCCCAGTGGGAGGTCTGCTCAGCCAAGGGCAGAGCATCATGGCACAGCATGCGATCAGAGCCGGCCAGCCGGAAGGTCTGCCGCTGCAGAGTGAGAGGCAGGGCCAGGGTGGCTGCGGAGAGCCAGGCCACCAAGCAAAGCCCAGTGGTCAGGCGCCGACCACGCAGCACACGAGCTCGCAGAGGATGCACCAGGGCCAGGTACCGGTCCAGGCTGACTGCGGCCAGCAGCAACACTGAGCTATACATATGGCCATAGAGGGCAGCTGTGGCCATCCGGCAGGCAGCCTCCCCAGAGGGCCAGTGCTGGCCACGCAGGTGGTAGACCAGGCGTGGTGGCAGCACCAGGGCCAGCAGCAGGTCTGCAACAGCGAGGTTCATGAGCAGGATGGTAGATGGCAGGCGGGGCACCCGTGTGGCCAGCACCCACAGCGCCAGTCCATTGGCCGGCAGCCCCACGGCCACCACCAGCCCATAGAGGGCAGGCACCAGCCTCGTGGGGACCCACCCCAGCAGCAGCGCTTGAGAGCTGGCAGGAAGCTCCAGCGTGTCGCTGTCGTTGGCACAGAACTTGCCTGGGAAGCCTCGTGGGTGAAGCTGGCCTGGGGACTTCGACTCCTTGAGTCCAGCTGTGGGACCCACAGTGCCTTCTGTGGGAGAGAGGGGATGTCAGTCAACCCGTGCCCTGCCCTGCCTTTGGGGACCTTGTGAGTCTCAGGCGCTGTGGGCTGGTGAGTGGAAGGACAAAATCCAGCCCCAAAGGCGCAAGGCTTAGGAACCTAAAGCTGTAAGCCTGCCTAGCTGTAGCTCCATTTCTGACCCACCCCAGCAAGGGAGCATTACTCACCATGGCCTCCCCCGGTACTTTCTCCATCATCATAGACGCTAGGGGTCTGGGTGCCCTGTGTCAGGCTGAGACCCAGCACCAGCGGACACAGCAGCAGCCAGGACATGCTGCCAGGGTCAGACTCCACTTCTTGGCTGCAGCCTGGGGCTTCCTGCCTTGTCAAAGCCACCCTTGGCTTCCGGAGCCGGGGCAGAGAACAGACTGTACTTCCAGGGAGATAACCCTAGAGCAATGCTCCCACCCCCGCATAAGCACCGGAGTCCGCTTGCTCACCCTGGAGCCCATGAGAGGTCCCTCTGTGCGCCTAAGAGATCTGGGTCTCCTGCCCAGGTCTCCGTCTCTCCAAGATGCCTCACAAGAAACGGGGCCAAGGATGGAAAAGAGGGTTCTGGGCTTCAGCCCCATCCCCACTCCCACCACCCCATCCCTACAACACTGTCCACTCCACCCAGCCCAGGAAACATCTGTGGATCAAGTGGCCACTTCCTGCTGGCTAGTCACACAACTCCTGTTTGGATGACAGTCCAGCCCTCCTCCAAGTCACCGCCATGTTGTTGGCTTCTTAACCCTTCCTGAAGCCAACCCCTACTTCCTATCTGTGGCTGGCAGGACAATGGCCCATCCCGAGGTGTCCTGGCTCTGTCAGAGCAGGCAATAAGGGCTAGCAAGAAGACACTACAGATGGAGGAAGGTGCTTGTCACCAAGTCTGATGGCCTGAGTTCCATCTGCAGGACCCACATGGTGGAAGGAGAGAATGAACTCCCACAGCTGCACTTTGGCCTCCTTGTGTCAGGAGGCTGAGGCAGGTGGATCTCTGTGAGTTCAAGAATAGTCTGGTCTATGTAGTGAATTCTAGGACAGAGGGGGCTTTATGGTGAGACCCTGTCTCAAATAAATAAAAATAAATAAATAAATAAATAAATAACCCTAAAGGTTACATCAACAATTGTTGCTTCCCAGAGTATTCCAAGTCTTCTTGGGGGGGAGCACCCTGCCATATGGATGCCTCCTTTACCCCAGCTCCTTGCCTGACCTGGAGTAAAGTGAGGTGCAGAAATAAGGCCTCCATGTGATTCTGGGGTCAGGTGGCGATAGCTGAGGGGATCTGTCCCCTTCTGTGGATGTCACACGTTCCAGGTCTGACTAGTGAGGGAGGTGGCCAGGCCTCTGTAGAGGGTCCCTGAGTTGCCTTGGTGTCCTAGACACTCTGGGGAGTTGTTACAGGCAATGATCTGTGGAGACCACCTGCTCAGATGAGGTGGTGGGCATGCCTGTCACCCCAACACTTGCAGGCTGAGGCAGGAGAATTGCAATTTCCAGGGCAACATGGGCTATGTGGTGAGAAACAGTCCACAAAGAATGGTGAGGAGAGGGTTTCTTCGGAGATGATGCTGTGCAAGCAAAAGACCTGTGTTCAAATCCCCAGTGCCCATGTGTGACACCTGAGCATGGCAGAGCACATCTGTAATGTCCAGGCAGTGAGTGGACATTGGAGGAGTCTGGAGGTTCACTGCTCACATCTGTAATGTCTGTCCAGCCAGTGAGTGGACACTGGAGGAGTCTGGAGGTTCACTGCTCACAATTGTAATGTCTGCCCAGTCAGTGAGTGGACACTGGAGGAGTCTCGAGGTTCACTGCTCACATCAGTAATGTGTGTCCAGCCAGTGCGTGGATACTGGAGGAGTCTGGAGGTTCACTGCTCACATCTGTAATGTGTGTCCAGCCAGTGCGTGGATACTGGAGGAGTCTGGAGGTTCACTGCTCACTGAGCTGTGGACTCACTGAGAGACCGTGATGGAGAGCGCTAGGGGAAGACACGTGACTTATACCTCTACCCTCAGCATGTACACAGACAAGCTTTCTGGAAAGAGGTGGGGAGAAGAGAAAATCAGAAGGAGAAACTGAGGTCTGAGGGGACATAGCTAAAGTCCATGTCACAAGCTGAATTCTCTAGGTTTATGTCCAGCAATGCTTACACACACACACACACACACACACACAAAAAGCTGCCTAGAAGAACCTTTCCACAGTCCTGGCCTGGAGCAGGGCTAGCCTTAGAATGTGCAATGTGGGCTGGATTCTGGGAACAGCAGAACCCAGGACACAGTGGCCAAAGCCTGGAAACATGAAACCAGCTGGGGAAAGGGAGATCAGCATGGTCACCTCCTACCTCCCATGCCCTAATCTAGCAGGATGTGGGTGAACAGCCAGGCCCTCAGGATTAGTCCCTGCACTAGGAGGGGAAACTGAGGCCTGGAATGCGCAAAGGACCCAGGCTTCTTAGGAATAACCCGGGCAAGGAGGTTTGGTAATTATGTGTAGAAACTGTGACTCATTTCCACTGCCTTGAGTTTCCACTGGCTGGGCATTACAGATGTGAGCAGTGAACCTCCAGACTCCTCCTGTGTCCACGCACTGGCTGGACATTACAGATGTAAGCAGTGAACCTCCAGTGTGCACTCACTGGCTGGACAGACATTACAGATGTGATCAGTGAACCTCCAGTGTCCACGCACTGGCTGGACAGACATTACAGATGTGATCAGTGAACCTCCAGTGTCCACGCACTGGCTGGACAGACATTACAGATGTGAGCAGTGAACCTCCAGTGTCCACGCACTGGCTGGACAGACATTACAGATGTGAGCAGTGAACCTCCAGTGTCCACGCACTGGCTGGACAGACATTACAGATGTGAGCAGTGAACCTCCAGTGTCCACGCACTGGCTGGACAGACATTACAGATGTGAGCAGTGAACCTCCAGTGTCCACGCACTGGCTGGACAGACATTACAGATGTGAGCAGTGAACCTCCAGTGTCCACGCACTGGCTGGACAGACATTACAGATGTGAGCAGTGAACCTCCAGTGTCCACGCACTGGCTGGACAGACATTACAGATGTGAGCAGTGAACCTCCAGTGTCCACGCACTGGCTGGACAGACATTACAGATGTGAGCAGTGAACCTCCAGTGTCCACGCACTGGCTGGACAGACATTACAGATGTGAGCAGTGAACCTCTAGACTCCTCCAGTGTCCACTCGCTAGCTGGACATTATAGATGTGAGCAGTGAACCTCCAGACTCCTCCAGTGTCCACTCGCTAGCTGGACATTACAGATGTGAGCAGTGAACCTCCAGACTCCTCCTGTATCCACTCAATAGCTGGACATTACAGATGTGAGCAGTGAACCTCCAGCTGCACCCCCAGACATGAAGGTGCCTGGAGCAGGATGCTTGTGTCTGGAGGGGCAGTGGGGAAGGAGCAGATGTGGTGGGGTGCCCATCAACAGATCCTCCACAGGAATAGCATTGTGACATGCAAGGGAAGGATACAGGGTTTCCTGTGAGGACCACCGTGACAAATTCGGTACAAGATGGCCCTGGGCCAACCCTAAATGAGGACGGACATGAGGTACATCCAACACATGGATGGACACTCGTCTTCCTGTTGAATGAACTAAGCCCATCACAGACAGCCAGAGGCTGGGATTTCACACATGAGGTCCTGCAGTCACCAATAAAGATGGAAAGTAGGGAGGTGGGTACCAGTTGATGAGTCTAGGGACTGTCCACAAGTTGGGAGCATTCTGAAGAGAAAAGATCGTGACAGTTGGGCATGTTATTTCTCCTCATAGCTTAGACTGGACTCCTGCTCAGTTGTATTTTCAGTTAGGGTCACGCTGTATTGTGTGTGGGGCATGTGTGACCCACTGGAGTACAGACTTGAGGGAGTCTGTTGGGTCTCATTCCACAATGTGGGTCCCAGATGCTGGGCTTCAGCCTTGGTGCAAACACCTTTAGCTGCTGAGCCATCTTTCTGGCCCAGTGTTAATACCACACACACACACTACACAGCATGTATGTAGGCGTCATGATTGCCTGACACCTGTCAAGAACATACATCACATAGCACGTATGTGGGCCTCGATTGCTTGGCACTGATGGAAACTGGAGGGAATCCCCTGAAACTGAAGTTAAATGGGTTTGAGTCTCCGTGTGGGTGCTGGGAATCAAACCTGGGTCTTCTGGAAGAGCAGCCAGTGCGCTTAACCACTGAGCCATCGCTCTAGACCCTCAGTATGAATTTGATGGGTTTCTTTTCTTTTTTGAGACAAGGTCTCACTCTGCAGTCCTGGCTGGCCTTCAACTCAGAGACCTGCCTGCTTCTGCCTCTGCCGGATTAGCGGTCTCTGTGCTTCACCACTGTCCCGGTAACCAGCACGTTTTTAAAAAATAACCTTGTTACAGTTTAAAGTAGTCTGGTGCTTGTGACTTGGTTCTCTCCTTGGACTCTGGTCGTCAGTGCCTTTAGTCACTGTGGCAGCCACACTCCCAAAATGGTTTATACAAGCACAATCCAGGTGTGGGAAGGAATATTCTGGAAAGCAGTCCTAGGTTAGGGGAGCTGCTGTCATTTCAGGAAGTTCCTGCTCTTCTGCGTAAGGGCTCTGGAGCGGGCTGCTAACACTACTTGAGACAACCATAGGCAAGACCTGGCCAGTACTCTTGTAGGAAATGACGGGCAGACCCCGAGGCTTGGCGTCAATATTTAACTTTAATGTGCAAATAAATAGAAAAAGAAAACTACATTCAAAACAGCTGCGAAGGGAGGTCAAGGCCGGAACATAAATTCCTCAAAAACGTTAAGGAGTGGCTCCCCAGAAGCATGCGAAAGTGCTTGGCCTCCTTGCTGGGGAATGGAGGCCCAGAGGGGCCTGGGGCTCGGGGTCCCCATGAGCAACGCCCTTCTCTGGAAACTAGGATGTGCTCAAGGTGCTCGTCGATCCCTTGTGAGGCTCGCAGTTGGGCCTGGGTAGGCACATCTGCTCCCGAGTGCCCAGGCCCGGGGTCAAAAACCGGTTCAGGAAACATGGAGAACAGGTGCTCTCTGGAACCTTGGGTTTGGCACAGCGATGCGAGCCTGCGGAGAGCAGCTGCTGGACAGAGGGAGGTTTGCGGGCCCACAAGGAGGTCTCACCCGTGGGAAGCCAGGGGAGCTGCTGCTGCGAAAGTCACAACCACTACGAGCGCAGGAAGGAATAAATACTTGTGCATAAGCATCTAGAATTCTGCGGGAGGGGCTGCCCGTGCGGGACCCCTGCCGTTGCCCAGGTCTGCTCTGTACTGCAAGAGCTACATACAGCTCCTGCTTGTTTGAGGTCAAGCTGTGACCTCGGGCTCAAAGTGACTACGGCCCTGTTGGGGCATGACATGTGGGGTGGGGGTGGGGTTCAGGTGCTGGGGCCTCTTCCAGCTGCTCACGGTGACG